TGCATGGCAGTGCAGCTAAAAACCCCTTTTGGAAACTTGATTTTTTTGGAAAAGAGAACCCAGAAACCAATACGTTGATCTGAAGAACATTTAAAAGCCCTAATGAACCTTAAAACATTTAAAAGAACTTTTAAATGTAACAGCAAGAACATTCCATCTGTAAAACACCATATAAGGCAAAAATGGCTCTTTAAAAAAAGTGGGGCCTTCAGAGAACCTTTGTAGAACCTTTAAAGATAGTTCCTTGATTGAATGTTCTGGAGATCACATTTTAAGTTCTTCTAATCAACATATTGGCTACGATCTTGAAAGCACCATGCATAGATGGGTTTTCAAAAGAAATAAAAAGTTGAATCAGGCTTCCACAAACTTTTTGGTTCTAACAGGAATCTTGATTTTTAGAAGCTACTACAATGCTAGAACACTAACCACTGCACATCACCAAAAATATGTAATTGAAGTAACATCTAACTTAACAGAAACTCAAACACAACTGAGGGGCCACTAAGCATTAACTAAAATACACTTAACCCTGTTGAGTTGTCAATTGCAAGCTTAAAGTAATTTAGTAAACAGCATTGTGTCCAACTGTCTGGATGAAAACACACTGTTCCAGTTACTCCAGTTACAACACTCAGCACCAGAGAAATAAGTCAATCAGTATAGACGTAAATGCTCCAGAGCCTCGACAAACACCATACACACACTCCTGCCCCTTGTGCTTCTGTACATAGTGGCTATTGTTTAGGCCGTCCCGGGAGAGAACAGAACGGCCAGGCTGGAGCCTGACACCACACAACACAGGGAAGTCGATGCGCACAGCTAATTGTCTTAAAAATCACAACAATCACCCATTCACATGCGATTAATCGTTTGACAGCACTAATATATATATATATATATAGACCAGTCTTCAATTACAACGCTTAATTATAAAAAAAAATAATAATAATAATAACAGCTGCCAAATCCGCACAAAATACATCCCACTGCCCCAACCTCCCAAATAGGGCCTTCTTACACCCACATGAGTCAGGCTTTTCCCCATTACTGCTGCATCTATGATCACACTACACTATACCAGTCATTATACCACACACACACACACACTCACACACCAACCCACAGCGGGCCTCTGGTTCGAGCCATGAGGTCAGCGTGCCTGGAGGCCTGAGCTCTTGCCCTGCTGTAGATATGGGGTGAGGGCACTCAGCACTGGGGGAAAAAAGGATCCATTGTCCTCCTATTGTCTTTGGGGAGACAGACAGTATAGATGGTTTGTTACACAACGGAAAGGTAGAGGAGAATGGGACACGTGGAGTCATGGAACAGGGTGACTCTGACGGTAATTAATGACTCCTGTCTGAAACAGGTTCAGAATTAGAGACCTAAAACAATGGGCCGACAAATATGAGGATAGCGGATAAAGACACCATCATACCATCACTGATGCCTGTTCCAATGGAACATTTTTACTCAAATCAACAAAGAAAAATCACAGCAGGAAATATTGACTATATATTCCGTTGAGTAACTACTAGATTATCATAATCTCCATTGCTTCAAAGCTTGTTTAAACAACTTTATACAAGGAAAACAGTGAACTGACAACCAAGACTGGCCTAAAATCAATAGAATCAGATGCATTTTACAACATTTTTCATAATGTTTATGAATAAGCCTAGTGACCTCAAGATGTATTTGGGCACTTAAGCCACACTTAAAAGATGTCATTGCATGAGATGATAAATATGCAAATAAATGCTGACAGAAATAACTTTTCTGAGTCACTTTTAGCCAAAAGGTCCCATTTTCAGTGGATGTATGAAGTTCACACAGGTGTCCTAGCACATTGATTATGAACAAGTGCCATAAACGGTACTTAATATCAAACCGTAAGATCTTTAATGGCATCTTTTAAAACTCTTAACAAACATTTTGCTGAATGTTTTGCTAAACGTGTGTTTTATGCTGCATTTCTTTAAAGTAAACACCATTTAATTTAAATTTACTGTATGACAATCCACTACAATGACATTGGTAGTGTGGGTTAAGTGCACAAATACTTTTATAAAACATGAAATACTATTTCATTAATTGTATTGAACTACACTGAAGTGCACAAACAAGCTAGAAATTGAAAATGAGGCAGCTGGCATTGAGAGTAATGGGTCATACAGTTAATATTGTGCACTTGGACAAGTGCAAATGCCAGATGACAACACACTTCACATCTCCAGAAACTATTGAACATTCATCCACAGTGGGGTTTGATTCACTGGCAGGTAGCCAAGAGAGAAACTGGCAAACATTATAATCCTACTTTAGAGATGAAATCATTTTAGGCATTGACTCTAGTTGCATGACCAAAAACATTAGATTTCATTGCATTTCACTGGTTTTATACATAATTATTTTTAGAATAAACGTCATTCCTTCTCTGTATCATGTCCATAGTGCCATTATTACATCTCATGCTCTGATATACAGTACAGTAATGCAAGAATAACCAAAAAAACTGAGCAGCTCTTCCATAAAAAATAAAGTTAAAAAATAACAGATTTAATAAAGTTAAATAACATAATAAAGAAAAATAGGGGTTTATCATTATTATATAATTACAATAAATAAAATATTTAAATAATTGTTTAAAATAATTAAATAAATATTAAATATTAAATAAAGCACTAAAATATTTCATAAAAAATAAAATTTAATTGTCACATCAAATAAACATTCGAACATTTCTTGACCTCACGTTTGTGCGCTTGGCCTATCATTTATGGTTGCTGGCTTAAAAAGATCAGACTTACCTTATCAGACGGTCTTCAGTGTAAACAAGCAGACAGAATGCCGATAACTCAAGAGCAATGCCAGTCTCTTTTCCTATTGAATCACAAACCCTCCCACCCTGCCTCTTTCTCTCTCTCTCTGCCACCCCTCTCTATCTGGTGGCATGTGCCACTGACACATGATTGTTATTGTGGTTTCACATTAGCACCCTGATTAGTAATGCCTCGACTCTACAAACAGAAAAACACCACTGCAGCAAACTGAATCACTACAAATGTTACTGTACTTCAAAGAGAAACTGGAAGAACGATCATGTTATGATTTATTCTGGCCTAAATATCTTCACATACCTCAAGTCCATGTTGGTTTGAATCTGCTTCTCATGTTGCGCTACACTCAACCCTGCAATGTAATTGTTAGAGAAAACCGTTTATTACTCAGATGTTTTAACAAGACCACCTAAGTGCAAACAGATCCATTTTTAAACAGCTGTCTGAACTGTGGGGTTCAGCTGCCCTTTTGCTGATGCTGTTTCTTAAGTAGCTCTCACCTAACTTCCTGTCTATCTGAAGGAATGGCTGCTTTAAGACACCAGATGGATGAAAGCTTCGATGGCTACCTCTCTGCTGTGATCTTGGCAGGCCACCAACGTTGGATTTCAGAAACTACGTCTCACTCTGAGACAGAGGCAGTTGTTGGTCCTTCTTCTCCATCTGGGTTAGAAAAGATGCTTTTTTTCTGTTAAACCCAGCAGGCAGCACAAGACAACAGGCTAGATGTGCCAACACCTAAAAGAAAGCAGTCTGATATACATGTTAAGAAAATGTTCTAGTCTGTAAAGACAGCAATGTATACCTAATGACATCTAAACAGGCTGCTACAAACAGGAACATTAACTTCAGAACAAGTTATAACATTGAATGCATATTCATATTGTAACCATAAAAAAATAAAATACCTCAGTGATAACGAATAAAAAAGAAAAAGAAAAATCATATGCATATGAATTCAGTATGTCATTCCATGCCATTATTGTACATGAATAGTAAAGTGCCATCTAGTGGTAACAATAATAAAAAAAAAACACCAAACAAATGTAAAAAAAAAAAAAGTTGAAGTATGTCACATTGATCCCTAACAAGAAAACAAACTTAAATACAATATAAAAGCTTTATTGAAAATTGACATTATGGGACTGTACAAAAATAGCAAAATGATAATGACTACTGTATGACCAAATCTGAGATTAGAGTATTACTGTACGTATTAAAAAACGGCATTAAAAAATTAGCACACTCAGGGGTGTTTCATACAAGTTCTTGCATTTGTAAATGTGTTGTAAATATGCATAAAAAATAAAAATACAACATTATATAATCATACGTATTAAAAAACGGCATTAAAAAATTAGCACACTCAGGGGTGTTTCATACAAGTTCTGCATTTGTAAATGTGTTGTAAATATGCATAAAAAATAAAAATACAACATTATATAATCGCCCAGTTGAAGAAACTGCATGATGCCTCAGACTACAGGAACAATAATAGAATTTCAGTCCATACAAAGATCACTTCTTTATGTTACATTAAAGTAATTAAAAATCAATGCCTGAAAACTTGAAAGGTTTTTTCCAAGACACAAATAACCACCTAATAAGACATATTTGCACAGTAAAAACAACTGCTGATGCTGATTATCACAGCAGTCTTTTTTTTTTTTTTTTGAGTACTTGCTGTTAAAAATGTTCATGGGAGGAACCAAACCATAAAAAGTTAATCAGTTCTTTCAAATCTGCCATTTTATATTTATAAACGAGCCTGCATTACAGTGAAATAATGTGAAATATTTGTGGCTATACAATTTTTACCATTAAAATATCCCATAAAAATTCAAGACATCTGAATATAAACAAAAATTCCTCTCAGCGTTCAAGCCAAAACACAAACACACGCATTAGTGACATGAAAGGGCAGAGGAAACACACACAGCTGCATCACTGAGACACACACACACACACATCATTTCCACCTGAGCATCACACCACCAGACTCTCTCTGCTCACAGCTCCATTCTAGACAGAGAAAACACAGCAGAACTTTGTATTAGTATAAAAATATAACATGACTGAATATTAAAGCATTGTATCCTCTTCTGCTGGGCTTAACTTAACACAGTCAAAGAAAAAAAAAACTGAATTTGAAATGGAAATATTTTTACAGCTAAAGATGGAAGCTTGTTTTGATCATGCTAGTCCAAAACCCACCATGAGCAAGTTTTTTTTCCAGCAGGGCCCCTGACCCCTGACGTGCTGAACTCTGTACCTAGGCACATACTGTAAAATAGCTAACTAAGTAACTGACTATTTAAATACAATTTTGTGGTTGGTTCTTGTGAATATCTCGTGTTATTTTGTATACTTGTTTCTTTATAGTATCACTGCTCCACCCTGATTTTTGAATATTTTAATATTCTGCACCATATTCTTACTTGTATTTATTAATATACACAATTTATATAATTACATATATATGTTTACATATAGATTAAGCTACTTCACATTTTGTACTATTCTGAAACACATTACGTACTGTCCCCATGAAAAAACAAGGATCAATTGCACTATAATTTAATTTAATTTAATTTAATTTAATATCAACTCAATCCGGTAACAATAAAACAGTGTTATTTTAGTGTTGTTTATATACCATTCAGGGTTATTATAGTTAATTAAAACTGAAACTAAATTTTTTTTTTACTATAACTAAAATTAAAGTGAAAATGTAAAATATAAACAACTGATTCAAAATACTAATAAAAACTATTAAAAATAATAATAATAGTACCTCAATAATACCAAAACAACCCTGATAATATTATAATATTTATTAGAAGTGGTTTTCTTTTTTTTTATTATTTTTAAGTTAATTTTGATTCAAGTTTTAGTTATTGTGTTATGTCCTTTTGTCATTTTAATTAGTTTTTTTCCCCCAATTAGCCATTTTTATACTTCAGCTTATTGTTTATATACCATTCAGGGTTATTATAGTTAATTAAAACTGAAACTAAATTTTTTTTTTACTATAACTAAAATTAAAGTGAAAATGTAAAATATAAACAACTGATTCAAAATACTAATAAAAACTATTAAAAATAATAATAATAGTACCTCAATAATACCAAAACAACCCTGATAATATTATAATATTTATTAGAAGTGGTTTTCTTTTTTTTTTTTTTTTAAGTTAATTTTGATTCAAGTTTTAGTTATTGTGTTATGTGCTTTTGTCATTTTAATTAGTTTTTTTCCCCCAATTAGTCATTTTTATACTTCAGCTTAATTAGTTGTCAAGACATCATTTTCTAATTTTTGTTTAAAGTTTAGTTTTTTCCATCTAATATTTATACTTAATTGATTTTTAATAAGTTTAGTTTTAGTTAACATTAACAACACTAAAAGAAACTGGTTGTTTATCTGGTACTGAAGACCAGCTTGACAAACCAATAAGTTTTAATAAGCACTTTTGAATCTGGCTCTTTCTCACCTTTTTTAAGTTGCTCTTCTTAGACGATGCCAAACTGTCACTGTCCTCAGTGTAGCGAGGGGGAGGAGGTGGGAAGTTGCTATGGTTTCCATGCCGATTAGGGTTTCCGGAAGGCGGGGCGAGTGGCAGAGGTGGCAGTCCGCCGTGTGGCCCCCTGTACCGGTCAGATCTGTCACTCTCACTGTCGAGCCGCTCGCGGCTGCGGCCTCTCTGCTGCTCACCAAGCTTCTTCTTTTCCATGGCTTCCCTGAGGAAACTGTCATCGTACGCATCCCGACCTCCACGGCCACGATCACGCTCCAGATCCGTCAGGTCATCACGACTACGGCTGCGCCGGCCCTGGAAACCAGCCCCACGGAAGGAGTCTCCACGTCGAGGACGAGCGTCAGGAGAGTAATCACGGCGCCGACGGTCATCGAAGACACGGTCGTATCCTCGTCCACTACTGCTCCATTCGTCATCCGAACTGGACAGAGGAAAGTCATGGGTTAAGAAGGACTTAATGCATTAATTTAGTGTGATTCAATTCAATTCAGTCACTCACTCTCTTCTGCCGCCTCTAGCCCCACCATCTCGGCGTGCAGGCGGATAGTCATCCCTGTCTCTGTAATTGCGGCCGATATCGTCCAAGTTTTCCATAGAGTGTGCACGTCCTCTCGAGTCAGCTCCCCGCCTGGGCTCATCCCGTCGGACGTGCTGAGAGACGCTGCTGATGGTGCTCATGTTTTCATCCACATCATCATACACTGTGGTAAGCTGAGGTGGTCTGGCCCGACCGCGATTTCGAGCATCTGGACCATCATGAAGTGAGCTCACCTCACTCATACCATCCACTGGAGGACAGATGGGAAAAACAGAATAAGACAAAGTGTAAAAAGGTTTTGATAAAATAAACACCTACAAATCATCCCCCAACCTTGGAAAAACAGAGAATCTACAGGAAACAAGAGTTTAAACAGAGTTTGTTTCCTTTAGACTGCCTGTGGACTTTCTCACACACAAGTAGGACATGTTTGTGAATCCTTAATCCTGTCAAAAATTGGTTGATTTAAATTGTTTTCATGAAGGATCTTGATCCAGGAACATGTCCTATGTAAGTCACGTTAAGCACTACTTTGTTATAACCCAACCCTCAGAGTGATAAAAGATAGTGCCCATCTCCGGAACTCACGACGACTGTATTTGCCTGGAGCGTTCATTGGGCGACTGGGGTCGAGGTTGGCCAGTTCTCGCTCCATGTAGTAAAGCACCCGAGTTGGGTTTCCATCTTGGTCGGCCTGAACACGGTATCCACTACGAGCTGAAAAACATACCAACAATAGATGTCAAACAGAAGGTTTCAAAGGGATAAAGTCACTTAAATATGTTATAGATGGATCAATGCAGTGACGTAGTGAAGATCTCTTGCTTACGTCCTCCACCATCGTGGTCTTGCAGGAGCGGCACTTGAGATCCTTGACCAACTGTAGCGGGACGAACAAATTATCAACCAATTACATTTATTAATGTAAAAACAATGTTGTTAAACTGCTGTTTTTAAGGCAAAGAGAGGACGAGTCTACCTGAGCTGGCTCCGTCAAAGTCTCTGCCGTATCCATTGGACAGAGGACCAGCAGCACCCACCGGCATAGGGAGCATGGGTATGCCTGGCGTAGCTCCGCCAACTCCATAAGCTGGCTGGCCATACATGCTTGGGGCATAGAGAGTGGCTGCGTACTGACTGGGGACGCCAGACTTTACCATTTTTCCAGCCTCATACACTGCAAAGAAGTTAATTTACCACAAATAATTATTTAAAACAACATAATAACATATAAAGGCTTTTCTTTGCAAATATTCATACATAAATTTTTTTTACAACTAATTTGATTCATTCACCATATCATGTATTTAATTACTGTAGATTATATATTTTTAATCAACTTAAAGCCCTAATAAAAACAATTCACACAAAGAGGAATTTTGCAACACTTTTCTGGAACTCATTTTACCATGTTATTATCGTTAACTGTAACTAAAACTATTAAACATTTTTGTTAAAGCTGAAATAAAATAAAATATAGATATCAGTTAAAAAACAAACTAAGCAAACATGAGAAAGTTTACTACTAACTGGAAATAAAACTACAACTGAACTAAAGTTGAAACGGAAACAAAAATAAAATCTAAAAAGTAATCATAATAAGAAAAAAATGAAAATTACAAAAAAAGCTAAATTACTAAATATTAACTAAAATTAAAAAAAGAAAATGCTAAATGAAAATATTAATAAAAAATATAATAGAATCTAAATAATATGAAAATAACACTGACAACTTCATCAGTTTTTACTGCCTTTTCATTCAGTTTGAGTTAGTTTCATCCAAACAGGACATTCTGGCTAAAGGAGAATTGGAAGTGAAGGCGGTGTGGACTCACGTGCGCGGGGACAGCAGCAGCGCTCCGGGCAGCAGGGGCAGCTGACGTAACAGCAGCAGGTATGAGGGCAACACTGACACCAGCAGATACCAATCAGGAGCAACAGCAGCAGGAAGCCCAGGACCACCAACACCACTAACAACCAGTCTGGAGAAAGAGAAAAAAAATTAACAGCTGGGGAAAAGAGACAAATCTCTTGCATTAGATACTAAAACAGAAGAGTGAGGCCATTAAACAGAAAAGACTAAAAATAAAAACATGTCTAAATGCAACATTGGCTTTATTTCTGTTTCATGAGATTTTATTTCCGTTTCATCACTTATTTTGGTCCCCCCTCCATCCCTAATGCTTAGTAAAATGTCATGAGATGAGGGCATTCATCTTCATGTGTGCACATGTCTGTCAGTTCTGCAAGCAAAAATTAAAAAAAGAAAAAGGAGGGAAAAAAAAAAACATGTATTTGACGCACATAAAGAAAAACCAGCCGGACAGGTTTTGCCTCACGATACTCTGCCAGGGCTTGATTCCAGCATGCACCACAACAACATCCTACATGCACAGACACAACATGACTCATGTGCAAACGCAGATCTCAGAAACTATTCCACAATCTGATGGAGAAAACAAACCATCAAAATAAAATCCAATTTTTCTCTAGTTGAGATCATCATCTGTTCAGTTAGATTATCCATAAAATCTCAACCAAATTACAGTATTATGCAAATCTAAGTAGGCAATAATATACAGTCAGTTGGCTAACTGTAAATTGCCTTACTTTTTTACTGCTTACCAAATAAATAAATTAATGGACCTTTAATATTGTTTTGAGCTGAAATTGGTTTATTATGTGAGAAGAGGTTGTGGAGTGATAACAGAGATATGAAACTGGATATGAAAACTGTTGTCTCAGGCATTATGCAAAGATATTTAACCACAGAATGCTGCCAATAAGAATCAAGAATTCAAATAAAACCCATAATAATTAGCAACTGACGCCATTCGGAGTACACAACATAATTTGACACAAATAAAAACAAGGTTGTAAGTGACAGAAGTACACTACGTTGTAAAATCTAATTTTCAGTGTTTTATCTGCTGGACGCTCAAGGACACAATGACACAACATTCAGGGACACAATGGGACACAACGACACAACATTGTTTGAACACACTGTTCTTCCATCCCATCAAAACCTTGTTTATGGAGCAAAAAAATACATGGCTTCTACTTTAAGATCTATAGTTGTTGTTTTTCTAGTCTAAGGCTGTAATGAATAAGACCTGACTGTGGCTGGTGAAGGATTCAAGTATAGCTCCAAACTTAACCAGACCTCTAGAGAGAAGCATTTATTCTACCTTCCATGATCAGTAAATCAATGCCAGGCAGCAGGTCTGTAGTATTAGACTTTCTCTCTGTGAAAGAAAGACAAAGCCATAATTACTGAAAAAGGCCTTACGGCATCGGCCCAAGAAGAAAAAACTGCCTTTAAGTTAATAGACTACTTCTACTATAATTATTAATATTTGTATTTAGTAGTGCTGTCAAACAATTAATCGCATCCAAAATAAAAGTTTTTGTTTACATAATATATGTGTGTGTACTGTGTATATTTATTATGAATATATAAATACACACACATGCATGTATATATTTAAGAAAAATATGTTATGTTTATATATTATAATAATATTATAAATATATTTATATATGATATAAATTATATGAATATAAATATATACATGTAAATATTTTCAAAATATATGCTGTGTGTGCATTTATGTATACCTAATAAAATAAATATACACAATACACACACATATGTAAACAAAAACTTTTATTTTGGATGCGATTAATCGCTATTAATCGTTTGACGGCACTAGTATTTATCAATATATTACTGCTATCTATGACATTGACTTGACTTGAATCCTTCACAAGCAAACAGCGATCTTCCAGGTAGAAAATAAATTTAAAAAAACATTATAATAAAAAAATAATAATTGGTATCACTTTACTTAAAACCTTTGTGTAATGCAAGTAAGGGATAATTAATGGCTAGCCGTGCATTAAAATCCTTTTATGGAGGCAAAGAACTGCCTGCCGTGAAGCGGAGGGTGGTTGCCTTTGCGACGTGCATTTAAAATCCTTTAACGCACGGCTAGCCGTTGATTATCCCGCTTATTCCATGGTCATTTGCCAAGTTATAGACAAGTTAAAACTAGTATTGCTCTTTGCAGCACAATATTTGACCGAATGTGTAAAAATGACAGTTATTTTTGTCAGTTAAGGCACGTTAGCGCTAGCATTCTGCCTGCTCCAAATCATACACAGAGATGAAATAGTGCGGTAAGACCACATTTATTTGAATGAATTATTGCATGTATTTCAATTAATTATGGTCGTTTGAGAGAGAGAGAGAGAGAGAGAGATGACAGTTGTGTGTACCTGCGTGCTGTGTCTGCGCGTCTCTCTGTACGAACAACTACTTCAAAAACAGCGATTTTACCACCTCGTTGCTGAGGAATATAATGTAGCGATCTAGTATCTAGGCTATTTTATTAATGAAAATCACGGGGAAGCGTTGACAACAAGTTTGTGTTTGCGTGCAGCGCAATCAGCGATCTCTGACCTCTCTCTCTCTGTGTGTGTGTGTGTGTGCGCGAGTGATGCGTGTTGGTTAGTGTGCATCAATTAAAGCATTAATATAGAACGGTGATTAAACTGACTTGGAACTACCTGTGCATTAAACGGTTTTACTGCATACCTGCCAGCCAATCAGAATCCAGTATTCAGACAGACCATGGAATAAAAAGGGTTATTAAAGGCTATAATGCATTATAATTATTCATAATGTGCGTTAATACATTGTATCTTGTTGTAAATAATTATAATCAAATTTAAAATGCATAGTGTAACAATAAATGTATTAATGTTATAATGTATTAACTGTGGTTACAATTACTCATGAGATTATACAATGCATTATAAGGTGCATTACAAGGCATAATTAATATTATAACTATTTTTATAGTGCATTATACATAAAGGCTTTAAGTTAAGTGTTACCAAATAACTAAATAATAATATATCACAAACAAATAATAAATGTAAAAAAATTATAATAAAAAAAAAAATCACCAACTATTTCCAAGAGATCATCAAACACAGCCCTAATTCCTCACATATGCAAAGACCCATCAAACATGACAAAGTGATTGATTGCGTTTGTGACGAAATCACACACTGAAATGTTTGGGTGTCCATCAATGCGAGTTTGTTTGTGTAAAGGTAAACACTTACCAAGCACAATGAGCTCTGTATAACACTCGCCATTCCCTGAAAGGTCCTGGGCAGAGGCAACATTACAGACGTACACGCCGCTGTCACCCCACGCGGTCTGAACAATGCTAAGGTCTGCCACTATATATTTTAGAAAACATAAAATAGGTGACATTTTAAAGGTGATCATCATATCAAACTAGGGCTGCACGATAAATCGCATGCAATATTTAACACGCATCTTGTCAGTAAAGCCATTCTGTAATCAGCGGTAAATCTCCATCACGTGCGGGGCCCAGTAACCTGGTTAGACTCTAATCTAATTTAACAATTTCTCGGTTAACTACTAACGTTTTTTTGTTAGTAAAACACAAAAGAGCTCATTCGCCATGTGTCTGATAAACGCTGATCTTCTTCAGTTTCATGATGATCACACATCATGTTATATAGGCCTTTATACAGGGGAACACTGACATTTATGTTTTTTGTACATTTATATTTTTTATTTTAATTTTAAAGACAAGTTCAATAATATCTAAAAAAAAATGTGTATATTTGAAAAATAAGAAAGATAAATTCCTTATTTGTACCTTTATTTGTAAACATTTTATTTAGGGCTGTCAGTTGATTAACATTTTTAATCTAATTAATTACATGCATAGTGCGGCGATTAATTAATCTAATCACAAACTAAATTTGGCTGTGAAAATACCCACAAAAGATTATTTAAAGCTATTATTGTGTTAAAAGACAAAGTAGCATTAGAAAGAAATATTTGATTCAACATAAAATTTATTACACAAACGTTTAGGCTACAACGGCCTAACATCATCTATGGAACAAAAAAGATAAGAGAAGATAATTTGAGAAACATCTCAGTATTTTTTGTTCATCCAATGAATGTCACTAACCAAAACAGCTTTGTTACCAACAGTCTTCAATTGTTGGCGATAAATGTCTTTATGATTTACTGAACTGTTGTATAAAATCACATTTGCACTCATGATATTCGTGACAAAAAAACGCACTTGTGTGATATTGCTCTCATTGCTTGTATGATATCGCTTATCATGTGATACGAGACAAAAACTCATACAGGAGCTTTTTTGCCCCAATATATTGAATTTTTGGCCATAACTGCATTTATGGAGTTGCCCTGCATCATATTTGTCAACCATAGATATGTACATATCTATGTTGTCAACAGTCAGCTATGAAATATAAGATGACTTCCCTTTATGGGGAAGTCGTGGCCTAATGGTTAGAGAGTTGGACTCGTAACCCAAAGGTTACGAGTCCACTTTCAATGTCGCTCTCTTCACCTTCAATACCACGACTGAGGTGCCCTTGAGCAAGGCACCGAACCCCCAACTGCTCCCCGGGCGCCGCAGCATAAATGACTGCCCACTGCTCCAGGTGTGTGTTCACGGTGTGTGTGTTCACTGCTGTGTGTGTGCACTTTGGATGGGTTAAATGCAGAGCACTAATTCCTAGTATGGGTCACCATACTTGGCCACATGTCACGTCACTTTCACTT